ATAGTATTTATAGTGCCCCAATAATATAAAACTAATATCAAATTCAGATAGTTCAGTCCTACTTCAGCCCCTTTCGTAAACATCCAGCAAAACAATAGACTAAATCCGTTATGAAAATCTAAAGCCTTCATTAGCTACCGTCATGTAAAACTAAGATGATGGCCCTCCCTAATGACGAAAATCGTCTGTAAGTATGGGGATTTGTCATCAAGGAATCACTATATTTAACAGTTTTTAAAATAAAAATACTTTTATGATGCGAACATACTTTTACCATGACTACATTTTACAATGTAAATCATATTTTAGTATCTTATTAGTGTAAAACACGATGATATTTCTCTTTCATTTCATTAGTACCGTCTGAAAGAAACAAAATTCATCTTATCTAACGTCTCTTATTTATCATCTGCAGTGTGTTGTATTATACTGTACTGAATTCGTTATTTGATATATTCAGGATATTGTTAACATCCTTTCTGTAAACTCCAAGACTTTAAATATTTAAGTTCTTTGAAAAAAGCTCGATAAAGCCTTTGTCGAGTACAAATCGTCTTTTTTGTATAGATGAGAAAAATCGAAATTTTCTTAGGAAACTATACAATAAGGCTTATCACTGCATCTATCATGCGTATCCCCAAATCTTACAAGTAGAAATGAAACATCAAATTTCGCTCTTTTCTCCATACACGTTGCTGAATTTCTTGTATTTAAATTATACCAGTTGATGAATGATGATTTCATAAGCCAAAGAGACTCAAAATGGTATATCTGTTGCCTCATTTTCATTTTTATGGGCTCTGGGCTATAATGTTTTTATTATTTTCTGGATGTGAGCCAAGTTCCTTACCCTCCTAGATCACAGAAATGAAATATCGATCATGACGTCCAAGGATATGCAGCCAATTTATAAAACAAGCTTCCCGATGACAATCTGGACTGATGCCTTGTTTGGCCAAAAAAGGGATCCAAATCGAAATTCACTTACTTGAATATATCTATCTCTCAGCCTACATTCTTACAATGGAATTAAGTACAAATACTGTTTCTCATTATGAAATAACGGGATACTTACGTTGTAAAATTATCTTTATAATGATATCGAGGATTATATCATTCCCAAAGCGGGAATTTCTGATCAACACTTAGTCACAAGATGCACAATTTGAATGAACAATGTTAATACTTTTTGCCCAAGCTCTCAATTTGAGAATATAGAAGTAGTAAGAACAAATAATTGAATATTATTGTAATTATTCGTCGAGGTAAAGCTGAAAAGAAATCAAAGTGAAATTAGTGATTCAATTTTGATAAAAATGGAATCAAAACTTTGCTTTGTGATTTATCATATCATTTGTTCTATTATATTTCCCTTGAAAATAACTTCTTTCTGTCCCACGTATGTAGTTGACGTAGCTTAGGAACTTACTGCATAAATCAATCAGCCATGTTAACCACAAAAAATTCCATTTCTGTCCCGTCGCTTTTGTTCTGTCACTCTTCTTAAATACCTTTGCAATGTGATAGTGATTAGCACTTCATCTTCAATTTAAATATCTTACATTTTGCTGAATAGCAGCATAAAAAGCAAAAAGACACATTTATTGTGATTCGACACAAAATCCTACTTCTGGACTAATAGCCCATTTTGGGATAATAAAACGGAATTAAAAGAAATTTATGACTGCAGGAAATAAATTATCCCAACAGTTTTTCAGTATAATTTCGCCCGAGACGTTCCGTATACGTCAAACATGTGAAGAAAACGAACTTTTAGTTTTGATTGGAAGATTAAATGCATCTATCTAAGAATATAATTTCTCATTGCAAACAATCCAAAAATGAACGTCATAAATTACATCCAGATTCCAAAGCAAAGCATCTGGCAATTCAATAAATGAATTATCGAATTATGTAAAAATTGTTTTTAAGAACATGGACAGCTTTTCTTGCTTTTGCCATAGCTGTAAACCTGTGGAAGGAGTTTTCGTCTGGGCAGGCAGACAGGCATCATGCTGAACGTGAGCAACAACCTTTAGGTTTTTGATAGAGGCGGTATGACTGTTGCGAGGGGCAGACGAAAAAAAGATTATATAGGATTTGTAGATTTTACACCTCTTCAGGCGTTTTTAGGGTGTGTAATTGCTCTTCAGTTTAGTTTTTGTTGACAAAATCTCATCTATATACGGCTACTTTGGTTACTGATTTTGTAGAGAATTAGGATATTGACCGGTCATCCAGATCTACAGACCTAAAACCCTATAGAGCGTGATTGAAACGTTCTTGTGATGGTCTCTGAAACTCGCGTTCTCTCTCTCAGTACCCTTCAAGACCTCAAACCAATATTGCTGCACATATGTTGTCGATTGGCCTATAGGTACTTAAAAACTGCCTCCTTTCCAGGACGAAATCTCCTTATGAGAGCTATATTACATACGTAAAGTACTTTTTTAATTTATTACAGAACTATTCGCACTGTAATATCTGCAATTTTTGGTTAAACAGGAAAACAAAATGTGTCGATTTTCAAAATGCCGGAAGTATTCTTTTGAATTTATCTGGATATCGCAGTACCGTGGGCTGAGATACTCTTTGAACATTATTCAAATTTCCACTGTTTCGTACGGTCGCTTTTTCTTTCAGGGTATACCGTTAGAAAATATATATATTCATTCACTATTTCTCGAAGATTTTTGACTTTCCTTCGAAAGACTCGCGCTTTTTAGCTTCCTCCAAAATCATTTTGAATAAAGGCAGATTTATCTTGGAAGAGAAAAGGGTAGATATCTTGAAATGATGAGTTGTTTCTTAGACAGATTTCACTAAATTGCGTTAAAATTAGATGGTCTTTTCTCTAGTACAAGAATTAATTTTAAAATATCTTTAAATTTTTTATTGGTACAAGAAATAATTTAAAGTTCTTACAGATTATAATTTGATTTATCTTTTTACATGCATATTAAACCAAATTTTAAACGTTCTAGAGTGTAGGAGTGGCATTTTTAATAATTGCTGCTTACAAGCATGCATAACTTAAATGTTAAAAACCCATTATCAGGCATATTATAAACATTTTATTTCGGAACAAACTATGAAGAAACGCTGTTTACGTCTAGTGATAACCTACTATGTTGTTAATGTCTAGTGAATGTCCAGTGCTAGCACTCATAAATAAAAACGAGACCCGTCATTCTAAGCGCTTAAGGAAGTGCTTAAAATTAAATTTCTATTTTTTCCATTTTTTCAATTCATTTTTTCAATATGTTTTGACAAAAAATATTTAAATAGCAGTTCAGATTGCCTACAGTGTTTTCAGAATCTTTTAAAATTAAAGCAAGAGTAAATTATATAGGATTATTTCAATATCAAAAAACATTAATAAACAGAACGATTAGTTCTGTTTAGAATATTAGGTTCGCTGATTGTTAATGCTGGTGACGCTTGTCCACTAAAATTTTAATTGTTTTATAAGGTATGTCTCTCACCTTTCTAGCGTGCATTCATGGTGTAGTGGTTCTGCACGCTGGGCCGGTATTCCAGAGGTCCGTGGTTCGATTCCCGGCGAAGGCGATTGCTCATTTTTCACCTCTCTTGCTCTCAAAACATTCCTAATGTCTCTACAGTGGCGCCTGAACTAAAAGAGTTGTGGATGATGATTCTCCGCACCCAGGATTTGGCAATTGGGTCCCCTAAAAACCCCACTCGCCCTTTAAAAGGGGGAGTATATAAGGTATTTCTCCCGCCTTCCTAGAGTGCTTTCGTGATGTAGTGGTTCTGCACGCTGGGCCGGTATTCCAGTGTTCCGTGGTTCGATTTCCGGGAAAGGCGTTTGCTAATTTTTCATCAATCCTGCTTTAAAAAAAAAAAAAAAAAAAAAAAAAAAAAAAAAAAAACTAATGTCTCTACAGTTTATTTCTTTTTAGTAAATGCTTAATTAGAAATCAATAAAATTAATCTTTTAAAGCAATTAAATAAGTTAACAGTTTCATAAGTTAGGAACCGAATGATGGAATATGAAATTCCGACATTTAGGGGACTACAGGATTCAAAATTTCCATTTCTACTAATTACAATAATACAATTAAACCCCAACTAAATTTCTGAGCCCCTTGTGCGTTCTTCCCCCCCCCAACGTATGTAAGTTACTTTTTACGGCCACCTGACAATTGAAAAATTCGTAGTTCCAGTCCCAGGATTGAATTTTTCTGTTCCCTACAAAACAAATGATTCCATAAACTAGTGGTTCTCACAATACAAATAATATTCTGGATATTTTAAGTGTAATATAAAACTGACATTTACACAAAAAGGTGAATATGAATTATTTGGATTATAGCAAAGCACACTAGGTTATCTGCCGAAGGTGGCGCCTTCCTTCATGGAAGAAATTTGAAAAGAATCTAATTCATGTTCACATTATGTATGGGAAAATATACGAAAATTCCCATGCGCCCGTCCGTTTGAAGAATTTGAATTCGGATCAAACTGCCAGTGTTTACAGTTCTTACAGCTCTACTGCTAATAGTATCATATAAACGAGTATATTGAGTATGCAGATTTATACGCGATATTATGCAATATTGTACGATTGCGTATTGTAAACATTTGACATTGGAATGGAAGACTGCAGTGTGGCGTTGATAGTAAGAACTTCTAATTTGACGGGCATCACAATCATTATGTTCATAAAAGTACCTAAAGTATTTTTATAAGCTTACTTAGAGGATAATGTAATACTAACCGATGAATACAGTCCAGCACCTGTTACAAGAATGTCATTCGTACATTAAAGTACAGCGTAAGTAACCTGTTTGCAATAAAATATTGGATTTGGACGAATTTTACTTAAACGGTGTTTATTCATTCATTAGCAAAACTATTAATCTTTTGCGTATGACCTATCGTTTCAAAGAAACACATTGCTAATTAATATGAATTCTGTTGTCTGACAATAATCAGTTCTTAATTTGCTAAAATTACTTTTAAATGTCTCTTTTCAGTACCACCTAAGCGACTAGTAATTCGTGACGACTCTGGCCAAGAAATCCGTGACAGAGCAGGGCCTTATAAAGAGAAATCGGATATAGGTCTATCTTGTGAAGCTCAGAAAGGTAAGGCGTTTCAAACATTAAAGTCTTAACTTCTGTTTAAACTTGCAGTTTTGCACTTTATTGTAGCAGTTATTTCTCAGTATCTGGATATTAATATCTTTTGTACGATGCACAACAAACTCTCTAGTGATAAGCAATTTATGATAATATATTGACTGCAAAATATGTCTAAATCTGAGATATCTGTATATCAGTTCTGATGAGTAAAGACTGAATTAAGTGCAAGAACAATGTTGTCAAGGAATGAGCTTATCGCTTTCTCAGCTGCAGCAAAACTAAATGATAAGTACCGCCAACAGCGAAGGAGGTTTTAACGAATTTTCGAGAATTTACAAGCAAATAAAAACGGCGCCTTTTGTAGTAAAGGAGAAAATTTAATAAAAATTAAAAGAATGTTCTTTAATTTTTTTTTTTTTTGCTATCTAATGTATAGGTTGATTAATGAATTTTCAAAAACTCGTTGATCTCTTTTTCCTCTTGTGATAGGTGTTCTTCATTTTGTTGCAGCTGAAGGAAGCAAGAGAGCTCAATTTCTGAAAGCGTTTATGTTAAGTCAGGTCTATGATAATAACATTGTTTCCTTGCACTCAGTTTTACTTCTAGTATCAGTGTTTATCATTTTAGTAAATGAATGATGTTTTAGTCATGCGCTTGATATAACTTTCTCAGCCTTTCTAGTAGGTAATGAAAACGGAGATAATTTTTAAAATGAGTAGATTAGCGCGCTGCAAACAGTTTCCTAATATGATTGGGTAGAACCGGTTCTGAGAATTCGTGCGGATATTAGTGAAGTATAGTATAAACGCTTTCTGAGAAATAACTCATATTTATGTTTCACTGAATATAAGAAAAACAATGTAAATTCACATAGCCAACCCATTCAATAACGGGAACGTAATCCAAGATAAAAAAAACAATATTTACTGAAATTAACGGGATGTTCAGTAAGTTGATGATAACAAACTGAATTTTTGTGTGCATTGTTTAGATTCATAGAAGTGTGTTAAGTTTTAATATACAATCGATATAAAGGTCTGAAGTGATTTATCAGCTGTTAGTTGGATAATGGCTGTATACTATAATCCGACGATTCAGATGATGAACATTCACCATTTTCTAATACTAACTCAAAATAGCGTGATTTTATGGTATATAAAAGTTAATACTGAGAGACTTGCCCGTAATGTCGGCTTGGTCACCGTTACAAACGAGTCCGTTAATGTAGTAGTCCCATTTAGTACATTTAGTCCCATTTAATTAGAAATGTTAAGAAACATTTCTAATTAAATTTGTAATGACTAGGTCTAAAGAAAAAGCAAAAGTCTATTTTGGAAGAAACCATAACATACAAAGCATGTTAAGAAACTTCATATATATGTAACTTATTTCATATATACATAACTTATGTTATGTGAAGATAGGGAGACCAGTGATGGAAACATGAAAAATAAGCTCTGTCCTTGGTGGAGTTCCGAATTACGAATCTTCCTACTACTGCTAGCTAGATATTTTACCACTTACATTACGAAAGCAAGCATGAAAAAATATGATAATTCCTTATCATGAGAGATAGTTTTATACTTTTTGCACTATATTCTTAAACGGTATTGTACAAGCTTAAAGGAATATTGAGAGTAAAATATCATTGGATTAGATTTGCAGAGTCTTCTTGTGTGTTTTGGAAACATAAATTTTAGAGACCCTACTGAAAGACGAAGTAGCAAATTCTCGCTGAATTTTTGGAAGAACAAATGACTGCAGACGAAGGTTATAACAACCTTTTTATTTTAACTAAACGGAACCCAAAATGCCTTCGCACGGTGTTCACAATTTAACCACCACTTGGGGCTAAGTAACTTGACCACAAAACAATCTATACAATCACAATGAATTAAAATTTTAGCTAAACGACTGGCTTCTACTCAATCTAAATCTTTTAATAGACTGCACACAGCAAAGCCGATCCTATGCATTATGGAAGTATTATGGAATTAACTTTAATCACACAGAAAATATTTAACTTATGAATTAATTAATGTACTACGTTTTCTTTCATCAAACATCGAACTAGTAACCATACCAGATACCTTTTTACCCAAATCAATACCAACATTCCTTGCAGTAGAAAGTTCCCTTAAAAATGACGTAGTCATTATACTTCAACGAAAGATAAATTAATATCATGTTATTAGTTGTGTAAATTTAATGTAATATTTTCCTTAATAATTTTCTAAATATCAAGATTATAAAAAATATTGGTGTTGACAAACAAAAATATGAGCTGTGAAAAACAATTAAGAAAATACGGTAGATCGTAGATTATCCTATTTTCTGGTACCTAATTCACTAAAGATACCTGGACAGATAACGTAAGTTTTATTTTTAACCATAACTAAATTTCCTCCGCCATGCGGAACAACAGTGACATTGTCACATTCTGCTTCTTTAAAATACCCCGCATTTTTTTTGCAGAAAGTAGGGATGTAAATATGTTTTTATCCCTCAAAGGAGAAATAAAATTTTTAATTTTTAGTTATCAAGGAGAAATGAAATAAAATAACAGAGAATTTTAGTTGTCAAGACTTGTATTTTCTCTCCTAAAAGAAGGTATTGTTTTATATGCGATTGTATTGTGTAATGCTTTTAGACAAAGAAGCTGAATTGAAACTCCATTCAAAGATTTAATAGCTGTCTGTAAATATTAAAAGTAAATGTAAATTTTCTCGGAGTTAAGTTAGTCTTGCATAGATGCTGTGATCTCATTTTCATTTAAAGTAGGACCATCTGCATGGATTTATTCAACACTTTTATTTTCTGACCGATGTCTATAGATTTTTCCCACTCTCTTTCTTATTATCCCATAACAGTTCTGCTTCTCATTATTACACTACCCAATTCCGTTGTAATATTCTTTCTTTTCGTTAAAATACAATTACAATAAAATTCTTTGTTTCATATCTTCCTATAGCATCATTGATGATATTCACAATCACGTTATCCAGTTTCGTTATAAAATGTCAATTAATATTTTTCTGTTTCATATCATCCGACAGAATTTATGATTTTAATTGTGACATTATCAAGTGAATTTACCCTTTTTTCCATGTAATTTGTGCAACTTTTAAATAATAGGTTCATTTAGTTTAATATTTCTCAGTATTATTTGCCTAAAATAGCGTTACCTCGAATGGACTTTTAGTCTGGAAACGGGATTTTACGTAGTCCACAGTAAAAGGCTGTATCACTTTCCAAATTATAGTCACCAAATATTACCACCTTGAGTTATTTTTAAAGAAATTAAATAATAAAGAATCTGCATGTATGCATATATGTTCTTCGTAATGTGAAAATACGACGGTACCTAGAGCTATCAAATTTGAATAACGTACGCCTTCACCCGAACATGTTCACCTGAAAACTCGAATCTTTAGTTTCGAATTTTATGTTTCTTATTTCGTAAAACTTTACTCAACTTTTGATTTACAAAGTGAATGATTTAAAAGCGAGCAATGTCAACACTGTATGGAATAAAATAATTTTATCTCCAGAACACGAGACTGTCTTCCGGAAATGCTAAACATACGCTGTTTTTAAATATTTTGTGATTTTGCTGTTGAATTGAATTTTATGTAGCGTAAGTGCGAAGAATGTGGTTTTTAATAAATAAAGTTCACAGGCGAAACATTAATAATAAGAAAACAAAAATAAGTTTTGCAAGGCGTGTTACTAAGAAAATTTAACATTCATATGATGAACTGAGTGAAAACTGAAAGAAATAGGAAAATGTATGCCAACAACTTAACACTGCATCGAGAATTCTAAACATATGCTACTATGCTGGCTTTTAAAATTTTTGCCATTTTGCTGTTGAATTGTATATGGCGTCAGTGCGAATTAAACGATGCTTAATTATAAAGCTAAAGAAAATTGGTTAACAGAAGTGAGTGCAAGAACAGACTGATAAACTGAGGAATGAGCTAGCGTAAAGTACCTGACCAAATCCTTTTGAATAAACGTTAAAACCTGAACCCTTCCACCTTTCAGATTTTTTTAAAAAATTTTATTTTAACTATTAGGATTTTTCTCTTTATATTTTAAAAATAATATTTAGTCCATATATACAAGAATATAAATATTTTCATAAAATCAGATTTTAAAGAAATTACTTCTTTTCCTTTTAATATATTCATTATATTTTATTCTTAACTAAAGAATTTCCGCATATTCAAAGATAGCAAACTAGTCAAAATTTAAATGTATACGTCCGGCGATTTACAACACTTACTATGCTCCATGCAATTATAGTTAGGTATTATGTTGCGCAGCAATTAGAATTTCTCCTCAGACGTTATCTAAAACATTATTCTTAGAAAATTTGCTTTTGAAAGGTGATTATGGCAGTTGTTACATTTAAACATTAAATGTGGCTCTTAAATTCAGTATTGTTCTTCAGGACAGTTATGTTCAAGCTTTAATCTGCGCTAAGGAAAGTATTTAAGTGCTATCTTGTGTAGATGTGCGTATAAGCATTTCCTCTAGATTCTTTAGTCAAATATGTTTATACTATAATGGAACATGATTCTTCTCCTCAGCTATTTCGAAATATGATTACAATGGTAAAATCATTCACAATATAAAATTACTTAGTTTGAAGCTACGTTACTTCGTTTGAAGTAAAAGTGCATTTTTAATAATAATGCACCTGCACATACACATAAAAAATAATTGGTAAACTGTTCGTAAATAAGCTAAAAATATTTGAAATTAGTTCCTCAACTACTCTGTATTTTGAAATATCAATTTATTTCAGTTGAATGATAATTGTAATTAATGAGCTGTAGCATTACCGATGACAGCTTAAAATGAATTCATATTTATAATTTCTCCAGTTTGTGAAGAGGAGATAATTAATTGTCTTTGAAATTGTTGCCTCTTCATCAATCAATCTTTGCTAAAGCGAATGGACAGTTAACTATTGTAGACATTTTAATATATAATTT